CCCATTTATGCCTCTCATCCTGTCCTGATATGTACACCAGAAACAGTGAGGACTGTGACCACGAGCAGAGGCTGAAACTTCACATCCCTGTGGGTGCTTATTAATAGAAAATATGTCCCTATTTTGAGCCATATGTTCTGTCTGTGTTACACTTTTAACAACAGTCATATGTCTGACAAGCTACTTAGCATCAGCAAAAGAAGAAAATACTCTGAATTTTTTATAATACATTTTACAGATAAATAGTACTGCTATTATCCTATAAGTCCAGATAGGAAAATAAACATCTCAGCACCCAATATTTCAAAGGTGTATTGGTTTTGCATGGCCAGGTTTTGGATGGGCTGCAGGGGTGGCTTCTGTGAAGTGCTGCTAAAACTTCTCCTGCGTCTGACAAAGCTGATGCCAGATGGCTCCTAGTTGACCCGCTGCTGGCCAAGGCTGAGCCCATCAGCAACAGTGGTAGCACCTCTGGGGGTAACAGATTTAAGAAGGGGGAAAGTTACTGTGCAACTGCAGCTATGAGAGGGGAGTGAGGATAAGAGAACAGTGACTCTGCAGACCCCACAGTCAGTGAAGAAGGATGGGGAAGAGTTGCTCCAGGCACCAGAGCAGAGATTCCCCTGCAGCCTGTGGTGAAGAACATGGTGAGACAGGTTGTCCCCCTGCAGCCCATAGAGAACCCCACGCCAGAGTAGGCATGTGTGCCCTGAATGAGACTGTGACCTCTTGGGAAGCCCACACTGGAGCAGGTTCCCGGCAGGACCTGTGGAGAGAGCAGCCCATGCAAGAACAGGTTTGCTGGCAGGACTTGTGACACCACAGGGGACCCACGCTGGAGCAGCCTGCTCCTGAAGGGTTACACTGCATGGAAGGGACCCATTGGGGCAGTTCTTGAAGAACTGCAGCCCATGGAAAGGGCTCACATTAGAGAGGTTGGTGAAGGACTGTCTCCCAGGGGAAGAATCCCATCCTGGAGTAGTGAAAGAGTGTGAGGAGGAAAGAGCAGCAGAGATGACATGTGATGAACTGACCCTAACCCCTGTTCCTCATTCCCTTGTATTGTTTAGTTGGAGGAGGCAGAGAATCAGGAGTGAAGTTAAGCCTGGGAATCAGGGAGAGGTGAGGGAAGGTATTTTGTTATTTGGTGCTATTTCTTGTTATCCTGCTTTTCTTTGTTAATAATTTGAGTCTGTTTTTCCTGTGATGATAACTGCTGGAGTGATCTTTCCCTGTCCTTATTTTGACCCATGAGCCTTTTGTTGTATTTTCTCTTCCCTTGTCCACTAGAGGGGGAGAGCGATAGAGAAGCTTTGGTGGGCAACTGATGTTCATCTAGGGTCAACCCGCCACAAAAGGAATAGGATCCTGTTTGCTTGCATATTCACATGTGCTTTTACTAAAGAAAAACATGACCTAAAAGCCACTTGTGATAACAGTGACATTTAAGAAGAATATAAAATAGAGTAGTCAAAAATGTGTTTGATGCATGAGGTTAAGGATGGAAGCCTCTGTACTGATTCAGCTAATGAGCCTTGTTTTATTCATCTAATGTTACTGCTGCCAGGGATGTATCAGTTCTATGACACTTTTAGTGACCTTTCAGGCACAGCCAGGATAAAACGCCTGCAGAAAGGGCAGCCTTCTGCAGGCTTTAAGAAACTAGTTTAGAGTCCACAGGGAGCTTTTAGCACAGTCTGGACACCACAGGATTTGCCACCATGAAGAAAGCTTGCTACAGAGAAATTAATGAAATCCTTTTGTGTTGGAGTTCACTTTCTATTACTTCCTTTACCTACCTTGCAAAGTTTGTTGTTGCATGTAAGAAGCCATTGTATGCCTACAATGAGGTCACAGTAGTACTCTCTGCCCCACTATCATTTGGTTACACACATGGGAACCTTCATAGTGAGTTGAATACAGAAATGTCTCTACGAGCTTGCCTTCTTTGTCGCTTGACAATCTGGCTTGTTAACACTCCGTGCAACAATTACTCTGTGCAACAGGGCAAAGCCATAATGCATGAAGAGATATTTGGCATGCATCTTTCTCTTGTGCCCACACAAACTCGTTTTGCTCAAAGAAATCTTTTTCTTAACACATTGGTTTAGCTTTCTGGAAACAACCCTAAAGTCACCCTCAAGACCTTTTTTACTCCACAACTGCAAAACAGAGTGTCTATACCTGCAGCCTACTAATAATGGTTTACCAGTTGCTTGAAGGGTCTAGGAAAGTACAGAAGAAATAGAAGGCTGGACTAATGTATATAAGCAACCTCTGTAAAGTGACATGGGTTGACAACAGTGAGACACTCAATCCAACACAGGTATTTTCTGACTTGTGATCACATGGATCAAGGGCGACCAATAAAAAAGAAAATGAGGTGAGCGAGCAACAAACCATATGCAGCAAAGATATGTTCATTTTTTTTTTCTACAGTCTTTGTATTTGAACAGAGGGGTTTTTTCCTCCCAGCCTAGCGTTTCACTTAAAAATTTTCTTCATTCTGTGCCTATAAACTTAGTATGCTTCCAAAGACATGATCACATTTTGATAAAGATATCCTGATGGTTATAGACAGTGAATAAGCAGAAAGCAACAAATGACATTTATCTTGATTTTAGCAAGATTTTTATGCTATAGAAGATTTTTAAGAAGGACAGGGAAGTACTGCTCAGATGCAACCATCATAGGTTGTATGCAGAATTGTTTAAAACTCTATTTGAAATGTACTTATAAACCAGATGGGATGACATTTCAGATGGGATCCCACTGGGACTTCAGCTAAGTAAATAATTCTCTTCATTATTTTTGTTAACAACAAGGAGGATAGAGGCGAGAACATTTGTAAAATTTCAGATTAAAACAGACTGGAGTTCTAGTGAAGATAGGATTAGAAGTCAAAATGATCTTGAGAAATGACTTGAAATCAAGAAGATGAAATTCAGTACAGATAAGCGCAAAAGAACTCCTGTGGGGAAGAATCAATCATCTTCAAATAAAACATGGACTACTTGGCTAGACCTACAGTTCATATCAAAACATAAAAATAAAGATCTGATTGTTAAGTGTTTGTACGTTGCTGTTGAAAAAAGAAATTAGGGAAAAAACCCAAACCAAACAGCACCACAACAAAAAAAAGCACAAGGTAAAAAGGAAACAAACTAAACAAACCAAACAAACCAAAACTGAGTTATTCCAGAAACTACAGGTAGTTGCCCAGTTAGTCCTGATTTGTGCACTCTACTGTAAGAAAAGCCTAAGTAGACTGAGGAAGGATCTTCGGGCTTTGAAATTTAAAGGCTTGGAAAACATGAGCTGTGAGAAATGTTTGAAAGAACTAGGTTTGCTTAAACCTGGAAACAATAGATAGCATGAAATACCTTTTGAAAATGCTTAAAAGCAGTTGTAAGAGAAAAAAAGAAAAAGAAAAGCTCATTTTCCTTCATGTCTATAGGGAGAAAAGGCCAAAATTCAGAAAAGTAGTTAATTTTCAGGAAATTACATTTAAATTAGATATTAGAAGTTAGGCACAGGAAAAAGCAACACAGAGAGACTATAGAACCTCCTTCATTAGTGATACCAGGAATTAATTTAGTAACACGTCATTCTGGGATATGAGTATGCATAATGCTGCCACAGTGAACAGAGTCAGACAAATTATTTCTGCAGGGGCCGTTGTTGCCACTGAAGAATGACTTGATGACAGGCTGAACAAGTGTGTGGTTGCAATGTACTGTACCCATCCAGTCTAGTGTTTTGATAGCTCTTTGCTTGCAAAATAAATGGAGGACAGAGGTGTACAAGAATTTGATATTTTTGTACCGTGTCTAGGGTGCATATGACTGCTTTGATAAGTGTGGCTAAGTGTGAGACACATTGAGGGGTACCTTAGTATAAAATAACCTTATAAATGCAAGTTTTAAGTATTCCAACCACTGTGGAGGTTCTCAAACAAAGGGTAGTAATTTTATTTTTTTTTTGTGATTGTTACTGCATTTTAGATCCACAAGAAGCTGTCCTCCATCAAAGAACCTTTTCTTTTTTTTCTACTTTTAATGTACACAGATCCAGTCTGTCAGTAGCAGTGTCCAAGACATGTGAAAAATGCATTTCCATAGCTTTGGCCCTTTTCTATCAAAGTCAAGTCAAATTCGCATCGCTGACGTAAGAGATAATTTTTCAGGATTGAGAACTGCCCACGAAGAATCGCTAAAAGCCAATAGCTGAGTCTCCTGGGACAGAAAGGAAGAAAAGGGCACCATTTTACCTGTGCAAAGAAAGTATTATAGCAGAGAAACAGGGGTCTCAAGCTTAGGTGAGCTTGAATTTCCCTGGAAATTGTTTAAAACAAGCATGTAAAGACCATCAGGAACTTGCAATGGTTTGAATTAATAAATAACTTCCACTCTGCAACCTTCTTGCAGACCTTCAGTGCCTTGAGAGAAATAGGTTTCCTTGCATCTGAGAAGTTTCATCTCTGAAGCTCAGATAAATTGTTCCAGCTCTCTGTTCATGCATTTCAATCCAAATGTCAAAGCAAGGAATCAGAGAAACTTCTCTCTCTCAGACTGAGTTTGATCAATGTGTTCCCTCCTCTACATCAATGGTATGACAGGAAGCCAGACACAGTAATCACAGTCAGAATCAATGTATTCATGCCAACAAATAATGGTTTTCAGTATTTGTGGTGTCTGAATAGCATGTTCTTTTGTATTACAGTGTGGTGGTCTGCTTGAAAAAGAGGGATGTGTGGCTATTTCTGATGGCTGTTATAAATCTTATATTGTCTTTTTGTGGGTTTAAAAAGGAAAAACAGGGGACTTTGCCTTTCTCTCCTCTTTTAGGCTTTTTCTGCATCTTCACAATTAGCTTGTCTAATTTTAACAGATTATTAGAGGACTCATCAAAAATAATGTATGTGCCGGGTGGTTCTTGAATTATAGGGCCTATCACTTCTGAAAAGATGTTGCTAATGCAAGCAATTTTCCCCCTTTCAGTTGACTTCATAGGTGGATTTGACTCTTACGGCTATCAAGGTCCACAGAAGACATCTCATTTACAACTACAGCCCATGTATATGTAAGTACTTAACTTCTAAGATATTCGGCAGAGTGGCAGGCTGATCTTAAAGGATCATTAAGCTGAAAGATGGCATGACTTAAAAATTCAGAACACGCAGAAGCCTTTTTTTATGGACTGAATTCAAGCTACACTTAAGCATCAACATTGCTCTTCTGTTGAATTATAGTGATTTCTTGGGGCAGGATATCATATGTCACAGTTATTCAAATAACACCCAGCTCTCACCTGATTTTTCCCTTTTTTCATTCAAGCAGGTTCCACTCAGAAGCAATGAGAATTCAGTGTAAAAAAAAAAAACAAACTAGTCAGATATGACAAACCTTGGTTGGAAAAAAAGTGGGTTTTTAATAAGATTTATCAAAAGTTCAGCAACTTGCTAATTTAGTGGATGCATTTAACATTTGTCTGACCAGAGCATCTGTTCACTGAGGCACTTCTGTACCTCATTTCCAGTTACCACATTTAAAAAAACCCAAAACAAATGTAACAACATATGAGTTTTAAAATCAGTTTGAAAAGAAGACAGTATTTTACCTAACCAGTGGGTGACAACTCCATCCCAGAGTGCAGCCTGATATATTTGGGAAATCTCCTGATATATTTGGATAATCAAATCTCCACTCATACCCACAACTGGGGTATATTCACACTAAAGCTAACACCCAACTACAGATTACTCCAGGAATAATCATCTCTAAATATTTCTTGTACTGATGCCAACTGCAATTCAGAACAGTCCTGACTGCCCAGATAAATCTTACCTCACTGCTGCAGCCTTTTGGAATATTTTTTATTTGCCATCAATAACCACACACTAAAAGCATAGCACTGAAGACTTCACAAAAGGGCAACATTTACTTTTTTTCCTTTGTTTCTCTTCTGAACATCTCTTTTGAGGAAAATAACTAAATTCAAGCAAACAGTAGGCATTGCAACATACACTTCCATTCACCCTTGAATGCAATTTCATTTCTTATGAGTAGTGGAAGCAAGTCTGTTAATAGATTAGTATATTTTTGCATGGAACTGGCATTTACTCCTTTATCATGGTACAATCAGTCTGCAGTAGTTCAGGATTGGGCCCTTTGGGATCTTTACGAGCAACTTTTTAATAATCTCAAATTACAATAGTGCATATCTCCAATGCCATCTTAACTTCAGCTTCCCATCTGTCTGTGCTCAAGTAAAGATTTTTCACCTGCACTTTTGGCACAGTGCTGTGCATTTAGAAAATGTTATTTCCTTCCTAGTATTATATGAAGCACATAGGTACTTAGAACAATTCTAATCCTATTTCTTTCTCAGTACACCATACCTTGTCATCAACATATGGAGCACTCTAGCTGAGATATTATCCCATTCTCTTTATGCTCTCAGTGTTTCTTCCAGAAGAACAGATTGCATTTACTGTGTATTTTCATACTGACTGGAAAGAAAGCTAGACCTGTGGAAAAAAAGAAGGCAATATTTTTAAGCTTGTAGCTGAAATGAAGAGATACATGATTAATCCATGCAAACTATGTTCCATCTTATTTCAATGCTGCATTCTCACTGGAGTATAGGTGATTTTACCATCTTCACAGAGAGACAGAAATCAGAATGTGAGCTGACATTTTGCGCAATCAACCCACAAAAGTATTACCACGTCCCAGCCGCACTCAATGACATTTGACGTTTCCCTCTGACTGTATAGTGTTTGACAGGGTTCTCTAGAATTGCTACAATCTGTCCTAAAGAGGCTTCTACAGCATTTAGTAATACCTCTCTGTTTTCTGCAGCTGAGGCACACCAGGAACGCATGCATATGTATTCACACTGCAGTTGCTCTGTAAATATAGGCAGACCATATCCATATAGCAATATTCGTATAACTATTTCCACAACTTTATCAGTTGCTAAAAAATGTCTTTTAATCTATAAGCAACAGAAGTGTTTTCTGTGCTGTGGTAGTACCTATATGTGTGCTGGGCATGCTGCAAAAGGGAAGAAGATATGGCCTCAGCTTTGAAGAGCTCACCAAAACAATATCAGCTTCTAATGATGTACAGATTCCGTCAACATATAAATTTCAAAATGTAGTTCAGTAATGTAGCACAGAGAAGCCCTTATATATTTACGAGATCAATTCATATACAGAACTAGTACAAATCTTAAAGACACACAGAATTGTGTAGTAGGTCTCAGTCATCATCCATGTACTGCTTGCTGATGTGAATTGATTTAGAGGATTGCACTGGCAGAATTCCATCAACACAAACTTTTATTTCTATTCAAGTTAGACAGTTTTGCATCCAAATCAATTTTAACTGTCTTACACATGAACGATTTAATTATTATCCTGAAGGAATGCTGGGTTTAGTAATTGCTAACTATTAAGACACACAGTTTTGTAACCAGTTTCATCCTGTGTGCTGAAGTTAGCACTTCATTTTGTTAATTTGGAGGTTTTATTGAACCTACACAAACTCACACGTGCAAATAATTATATTGATTTATTCAGGCTTCTTATGTTTACATTTCTATTGTGTCAGGACTTTTTTGTGCAAAGATTTATTATTTTTTATTCGTGATATCAATCAAGCTCTACTTATAGGAACATTCCAATTCAGTTTAAATGTACACAGTATATTTGTGTGGAATTTCATCAGTTATGCAAAACTACTCTGAATGAAAGGATACTTACAGGAAAAAAAATCTTGATTTATGAAAAAGAAACATTATCTGTAGATAATGAATTGAGGTGACTATCTCTGGCTACTATTTCCTTGAGTACTCTAGAAATATTAGATTTGGGCGCACTTTGGGGTGTTTTCTCTATATTTTAGGCTTTTAGTTGCAATCACAATTCTCCTTATCATCTCTTCCAATTTCATATTTATTTTAAATAAGTTTACTTTTTAAAGAGAAAAATATATTCAATTTAAAATTATGTTTTAAATAAAACACTGACTTTTTGGGGAGAATTCTTGTTGTGACATTTATCTACCTGTTATAAATCGCGGTTTTTTTATTATTTAAGTGCCAACAGCGTGCTCTATGCTGTACAAGCCAAGAAGCCTAGACAGTCCCTTCAAAACGAATATGCTTTTTGAACAGAACGGGACAGAACCGATGCTCATGTACCTCCTTGCAGTGTGACCACAGCTGATGTACTCAAAAGCAGCTTCCTGGCATTCTGTGCCAGAGATGCCAGTGCTCATTTCCAGACCATGGGAGAAGAACACAATAAGATGGAGGAAATCAATTGACAAGAGAAAATTCTGCTCTTGGGAGGTGATCGAGGAAGGTGACTAAACACTCCCTGACACTGATTCTGCTGCACATGAAAAAACACAGTTGTAGTTGTGGAACAAGACTGCACTGCATGATCACTGTTCTTCTAAAAACAGTAGGAAGGAGGGAGGGGAGAGAGATCTTTCTTTATGTTCTTCACAGTAAACTTGTTTGCTCAAGAAAAGAAGAAGTGAAGCAAAAAAAAAAAGCATGCGTGTCTGATGCTGATGCCTAATGCACTGACGAAATTGCTCAAAAGTACTGTAGCCCAAAAATAAAGCTTGCTTGCCTCCATTGTGAAGTCTAAGAATATTTGCAACATATATACTCACATGCGCACACACACACACACACACACACACATAGGTATTTGTCTAGATGATTACACATACTGAAGGTGCTGCCTACTTTACCATTCACTTAAAGTAGAAATGAAACACAAAAAAGACACTAAGACCAGCAGCTCATGTATAACCACCATGACACTCAGCAAGTTCATGCAGCAGAAATCTGCTGGGTAATGATGTCCTCATGTTTGTGGTATTCAGACTTCATGGACAACATTTCATTTAAATAAACTACCAGCTAAGCTTTGATTATGAACAAACAACATCTTGTCCATTTTAGACTGAAAGCTTTAGTCACAAAACATGGGTTTGGGACAACACTGTTAAGGTGTACAGGGCTGTGGCACTTGCACATGCACCCTGCTTTGCGAGCGAGCCGAGGGTGGCTTTCTCCCGCTCCTGCAATTCAGCCCTTCTGTCCTCATACTGTGCCACTTCTTGTTTTTACAGAGACAGCTACATATCTGATGGATTATATGTCAGGTCATCTTCCAGTTGACCCGTGGATATATAGTTAAGATTATAATTAAATATAACTCCTGTCTAGGATTGTTTAGAAAACCTGTGCTGACTTCTCTGACGGTGTTCCAGAGAGAGCCAAGCAGCTCCCTGAGCAAATACTTTGTCTTTCTGTCCACTTCATCCTATGTGTAGCTGAACTGTTACTGGTTTGTTGCTTACACTTGCTTGCAAAGGGGCAGCAGAGCAGCAGGGCAGGGATCAGATAGGTATATGGTGGATTATAAGTATTGTTCTTTTTCTGTCTTTCTTCTAGGTCAAAGTAAACATGGGGAGTACCCAAGGTGGGCTGGAAGACCACTGTCAAAGAAACTGTTTCAGAATGGCCTCCTGATTCTTCAAAGAGAAAAAAATCCAATTTTTCTGCTAAAAGAAAAATATAAAAGCTGGTTGAACAGTGAGACAGAAAACAAGAGACTTTCAGCCCCTCTTTCTAACAGGTACTAAAGGAGATGTCCCAGCCCCCCACCTTGGACCTCCTGCCTCCCAGCACCAGAGGACAGAGCAGAGGCATTGGTGCCATCTTTTATCTCTTCCCTACCCCGGCCACCGCCAGCGTGACCCATCTGGATTAAGACATGAACTCGGTGCTTTTGGAGCCTCCTTCATACTTCTGGCTGCATCAAGTCTCCTTAGTCAACACGACACTGAAATACCAGGATGACCTTGCAGCAGAAGTTGATAGACAGCGCATTGTTTGCCCTGAAGGCTGTACAGTTCATACTTGCCTTAACCCAACTGCATTGCACACTAGAGAAACTACGTGCAAGCTTTCTGAAGTTAACATGCTGCTGTTAATTCTGAACAATTTCTAAGTCAGTGGTTTTCTTCTGTTTGGTTTTGCTTTGTTTTCGTGTCAGGGAATAAGGCTCTGTTGCTCCATGGCTCCAGAGCGACCAAGTAGAAAACTGCCAGCTGTCTGATAAGTGCTTTACTTTTGAGACTCCACAGTGGTCAAGAAACAGTTTATAATGATTAAAAAGAAAAAGAAAGAAAGAAATAAGACCTTTGGGGGGTCAGGGTGAGGAAAGGGGTAACATAAACTAATAATTGAACCTACTGGATATACGCAGCAGAAATAGTTCTTTAATCCCACTGGTTTTATTTATTGCACTGTAGGTGCTTTTATAGCTATCTCTAAACGTCTTTTACTAACTACAGAGACATCTGCAGATTTCTATCAACAAAGGCCAACTGAATATGTACTAGCTATGTTTAGTCTTTTATATCTAATTTCAACTAAAAATTCTCTGTAAGTGAGCTTTTTTTTTCCTAATTGTACCATAAGGGATCCACATATTTTATTTTTTGATTTCAGTTGGAAAGGGTGGGGAGGCACTAGTTGAATTGAAGAAATATTGAAGACCTTTGTAGGGTATATTTGGGGGATTTGTTCTGTGTTAGAATGTGTATTTTATCTTCCTGTATTATTGTGGCTGAAAAAAAAAAACTGTGCTGTTACGTAGTTGGCAACAAGATGCCTTTGGGAATTTTGCTAGTAGGTCAATGTGTATATGAAATACTCTGAACTCCTAGGAACATATGTTTTATTCTACATCTGATCTGTATTTTCAAGAACATAGGTGGCTTTCACTAGGAAAACCCAATACTTTGCTCAGGTTTTTCAGAAACTTGGATTGTCATTGTTTCTTTGCTCAGACCTTGCATAGACAAACGCACGCACCTACCACACATGAGGTGACCACGTAGGTTTTGAGGGCAAGAGGAAAGGTCAACACTTGGAAAAGCTTGAGGTACACCTGAGCAACTCCCTTTTCCTTGCTGGCCAAGGCCTTGCTCCAAAGGCCTGTGCGCTCACACCACTCACTCATCTCTGTACAAACCAGTGCCCTTTGCTGTGTCTGCATGGACGTACAGTGTCACAAGCAGCAACTCTGGACAATGACAGAGGGACAGTGAAAGCAAGATATGGGACATGTTCAGGAGCTATGCTTACATTGATTCAGTGAGATTTATATAGATAGATATATATATATATGTAAGTGTGTGAATGTGTGTGTATGTCTATGTATATAAAATACACAGGAATAATTATTGTTGGGGGCTGCATCACCCAGGAAGATTCTGATGCAGTGGACCAAGGGCTCCTGTCTCAGATACTGCTGGGAATTTCCTGCATGAAACAGGCACGTACCCTAGGCCTGATCCCATAAAGCATTCACTGCTGATTTGGATCTCAAATTTAAATTTTCATACTTGGGGACCTAAAATTCTAAGTTCATTCTGGATAGAGCTGCTTTTCACCCCCTGGAAACCCCATGCAACTTCCGAGTGCCAGGATGAAATTTCCCATAACTTGAAAAATTTCAAAAGTTTCTACTTTTCTGTAGTATTAAATATAGCAGATGTATAGAATTAAACATAACATAGAGGTTTAAATGGAATGAAAATGTCATAACAGGTTCTTTTATCTTTCCCTGTATACCAGTTAATCAAGATGATATTTCTATAAAAATCACTTTTTAACATGAAAAGAAACCAGTTTAGGCACCTAAGCAGCAATCCAATTTTCAGACGATAATTTTTCATACCTCTCAGTGATTTCCCATGGAACAGCAGCTACTGTTAGTTAGCAATTTTAGAAGCCAGACAATTTAATGAAGTGTCTACATGTAGTTTATAGGCCTAATTTTAATTTGGAAAGTTTTGGCCTTAGTTTCTCTGTGTCTTAGTCTTCCCATCTATAATACGGGAATAATATGTGCCTCACAGGCTTTTTGTGAGGTCTGAATTGTTAGTGTTTGTAAAATGCTTAGGAAATAGGAAGCACATCTAAACTACTACAGACTGCAATATAAATGTGTATTCATATATTACATATAGAGTAGATACACACACTCGCTTACACACAGTATACATATATATATACGCATACTTACCTATATGAAGTTGGTATTCATAACCCTGCTTAAATTGCAGTTGGAGCACCACCATTTAAAAAATTAGGACTGTTGACTACTCAGCTAAATGATTAGTGGACAGATCTCTTCTGGAAGCAGTTTAGAGCACAGTAATGTGAGAATATCTGGATGGCACTTTTGATTTGTACAGTTGTATCCTCCTCAAAATCCAGTAAAGAATGTTATTTTTCTAGGCTGGGCTTTTGTTATAAACTAAAATATTCAGAAGGCAAGAGATACAATCCAAATGTGGGTTTTTTTCTTTTCTTTTCTTTTTGGCTTTTGTTAATTCTGAATGTATTTTTAACAAAAGTGATTTTTTTGACTTACTAGTGTAATTTGCATTTTAAAAAAAATAAATGGAAAAAATATAGGTTTCCAAGCTATTCATGGCCCCCTGCTGCTATTCACAACTTACGGGAAACTTAGAATTACTGTTACCAGCTGAGCAACAATGCAGGATAAATAATCCTATTACATTTACATGATGACAATCCTGATCTGTGCAGTGCATGGATGTGACAGCACTGAATAGAAATTGCCAGGTCATGACACCATTTTAACACTGTCATATGTAGCAGGTATTTTCATTATCACTGACACTAAAAGGTTTCCTTTACAAGGTTGACTGCAACAGACTCTTCACTTAGGAAGCAGGGCTGGTTTTGTGCACTCATCAGGAATTTTAAGCCTATGATAGGTATACAGTGGCCAACAGTGTTAAGTATTACAAAAGTAATCCTTTTTAAGAAGGAGCTATGTAACATGGATATTTCCACTGCATTAATATTCTTTTATATGCCATTTATTGTCCCTACTCTGAAATGAAGAAATATTGTGAAATGTTTATAGAGTTCACACATATATGCCTGAGGTCATTTAATAAAGATGGAGCAGAACAGTATACATTTTGAGATAGTCGGTCATACTGTCTTAAGTCCTTAGAAAGAGAGTGTATTAATTAATGTCATTAGGATTTTTTAGGCCTTCATTATAGTGCAAGTGATACTTTTCATTCAGGTAAGGAGAAAAGATTTGTGCTCCATTTGCTTAATTTAAGTTTGCAATACTGTACTGCTGCACAGAATTTTGGCAAAGTCTAGCACAGTATGTATTGATTCCTGGATGTCTCCAAATAAGAATGGCTATTAACTCAGTGTCTGAAGGTTTTGATCACTTGCACGCTTACCTTCTGTTTAAGCACATTGATAGTAGCCAGAGCAAAACTCCATACACCATGGACCCTTCCAGCCTGTAATATTTTCATTGTCAGTCCTCTGTTCTATTTTTAAATGCAAATGCTCAAAGGGTGAGGATTTTTCCACAAAGATGGAAAGGCCCGTGAATAGTCTCTGGGTATGTATTGCTTGCCGACTGTCTACCGATGAGTAGCTGAGGTGAAATTGAGGTGAAATTTTTCTAGCTAATCTGAATCTGACTTTTTCCCAGCACTTGTTGGTTGGTGACAGACACTAAAGGTAAACCAGGTTTTATTGAAGAACCAATGCATAGCAATACTGCAGACAGCGCTCTGTCCACTTCTCCTCAGAGAAAGATGTAGGCAGTTGTTATGTTAATTGGTCTGCTCCAAACTATGTGCAATATTAAATGTAATTACCATGCATAAAAGAAAGTGCCCTTTAGACTGCAGTTACTCATTCATGTATAGAAGTGGTGCAGCACAGAATGAATCAGTAAAAGAGCTTTTCTTCCTGTAGTCACTAATATGCTTCATTCCCAGACATGGATTGGAAAAATCAGCTCTGTTTGATCTCGTGTTGCGACAAGTTGCTCTGTTCAGATCTTCACCAAGAGAGGCAATTGCAGCTAGTTAGAGTTGTGACCTTTGCATAGCTGAGAAGAAAGATATTGTACCAAATGTGAAATTCTAAGTAGCATCATATATATAAATTTGTTGCACATCTCTCTCCATATGTACAAAAGAAGGGTCTTTTAAAATGAACTTTTCCTTTATCTCTCAGAAATCAACTGAGACAGATAATGTCTTACATAAGGGTCTTCCAAATTCTGCCAAGATCACTTCAGAGATTTTTTTTCTTGTGTCCAATAAAAGCACCATCTTTCCTGCTCTCTGTTGAGTAGAAGACTTAGCTCTTGGGACTTCCAAATGCCTTGGGATTATTATTTTGGATAGATAGGATCACTGTGAAACCTAAGAATTAAAAAAACTAATGTTTGTGGTCATCTCTGATTCAAAATTAATTCTTCTGTACAAAAGCCATACTTTTGCATCCACCAGTGGAAAAAGGTCTTTGCTGCCACCTGTTACCTAATCACTTTCCTAGCTTTGCCATTGTCCTGCTGGGAAATAGGCTATGGGGAGCTAAATATGAAGCAGCATGTTCATATTCAGCATGTGCTCTTCAAGAGTCTCTAGTTCTGCCACACAGAATGCTATTTCATACTTATTTAATTTATTTCTCCCTGTCACCATCTTCTTGTCCTATTATCACTCTCCCCATCTTCCTGAACACAATCCCAAATACTCTCCCAAAATTACATACTTCTGTTTGGAACATCCATTGTTTCCAACTGTTTACATAATGATGGTGATGACAGTCATGGAGGACAGTATCACTGTGGATATCTGCAAAATGACAAGATGAGGAAGCACAAAGGTCCCAGATGCAGGGAGACACTTAACAGTAGGGTAAAGGGTGGCAGCATTACAGAAGCTATGAGGTACAGTGAGTCCTGGTAGGAATCATTTTTACATGTGCAATTACATTTGCCGAAGATATAGTTCATTGAGCACGTAGACAGTCATAAATATCCAGAGCTACAAAAGGCACAGGTGAACCGGAAGAAAATTCTTAGAAAATGTGTTTGTGAACATGTTGACTGGATTAGATTCACATTTCAATCTCTTGAAATTTGTCTCAGGGTTGTTTTTTCCCTCTTGCGAACATTTGGATGGTTGGTTTCTGTGCACGCAGGTGAATGTTTGTTCCTAGGAGAGCATGTACGTATGTGCAATTTAATTCATTTACATGAGATTCTCAGTATCTATGTGCTTTTGTGTAAACGTTGGCTCAGTTCACTCTGTCACACATATCTACACACAAACATATCAGTTATGTGAGTATATTTTAGGGTGGGAATACAAAACCAACTACAGTTTCCCCCTCTTTCTACATAGCTTTTCCTATCCCTCCTCTCAAGAGATGCAAAGTCTCGAGTATTTATTTTTTAGATGGGCATTCAGTATACAAAAATTATAATTTCTGATACTTGCTGGATGTACAAGCATGGTGCAATCTATGAACACAGTAAATAAGACAGTCCTTTCTGCAAAGAGTTTATGTTTTAAATAAAGTAAGTGAGAACATTTTAATTTAAAAAAAAAAAAAAAGAAAAAAATATGATCTCCGTGTCACACTCTGCTGTTAAATTTGTTAAATTTTAATTAATAAAAAAAGTGGGTGCCAAAAAATTTCAGAAAAAGAAGAACAGGGAAATGAGAACTTGGAGTATGGTTATGAGGTGATATGATTAGTTTAAGCATGTACATATGAGACTTGGGTAAAAGAATAAGCCAATTATATCTTGCTAGATTATCCAATTAATTTATGATAGCTCCACATAGTTATGTATTATATTACAGCCTACATCTTAAAAGCATTTAAAACAGTAGTTTTGGAAGAAGAACAACATCAAAGGGACTGCATATTGATGCAATCACAAAAGGTTGATGGATTGATTCAATTAATCAGTGAGTCATTTCTAAGAGTTCTACAGGGATTTATTTACCAAATGCTTACATTGTTTATTTTGCTCTCTGGAGGGTTTGTGTACTATCATTTTTCTTCATTATTCTTCTTGTTTCATTCATCAATTTCTGACAAATGTTTTCATGCCGATATGGCATGTTCGGCATGTAAATTGTCCATATTTACTGATTTAAAGCAGTACACTCCAAACTTCAAGTAGCTGAGAACTTCTGTTTATTTCCCTCAGGTCCTGAGAAATACTAGCCATCTATAATTAGTATAAAGACACGTTTCCCATTTAATCTTTGCTTTCAAAGTCTACTCAACATGACAAGGATGTAAGGTCTTGTCTAGCATAACATGCAAGTACCTGCTTAAACTTTAGACACAAACTTACTATGAAAAATATTTTGACTGCTGTTAATACTAAATAGAATATCTGTTCCATGTTTGGTTTGTCCTTACATTTTGTAGTTCAAATCCAGGAAAACAATGCAAGAGGGTCAGCAGTTTCACTATCTTTTCCATAAGTTTAGATAACTTTTTTACAAGGGCATGTAGTGATAGGACAAGAGGGAATGGCTTTAAACTGAAAGAGGGCAGGTTTAGATTAGATATTAAGAATAAATTATTTCCTTTGAGGATGTTGAGACATTGGAACAGGTTGCCTAGAGAAGTGATGGATGCCCCATTCCTGGAAGTGTTAATGCCCAGGTTGGATGGGGCTTTGAGCACCCTGGTCTAGTGTAAGGTGTCCCTGCCCATGGCAGGGAGGTTGGAACTAGAAGATCTTTAAGGTCTCTTCCAACCCAAAACATTCTATGATTCTATGATTTTCTATTTTAATATTGTCATAGTATGTGCTTCAAAGACAATACACAGAAATGGTCCAAATAGATCAAATTGGATTACAAAATAGTAGATATTGAGCAAAACAAAGGTCTGTGAAGGATGAAGAACTGAAACCAAGAGGAAACCATTATTTGATGGAGCTGAGCCTCATTTGAACAAATATTTTTATTTTAAACTATCAGGAATACTGAACCTCTAAATAAAAATTTCAAAAATTATCATGTGTTATTGCATACATATATGCAATGTGGGTGTCATTTTCAGGCATCTTTGGCACTGGTCAAAATCTTACTTCACTTTTAGGTGAGTGGGAACAACTTGTCATGAAAAGTAAAAGATAAAAGATCACAGTCCTAGTGACAAGAGTCATGGCAGCCTGCATCATGTGACAGCCTTCCCCAGTGGATTTAGAAAACACCACCCTACCTATTAAACTGGAGAGCATCAAAGAGATGGATGCAAAAATATGAAAGTACAACATTTAAAGACTAATGAAGATGTTAGCAGAATGAAATCATGGTACAACTCTGATTGCATACAACAATGTTGTGATGCAAAGGTAGTGGTGGGAGACTGACAGAAGGCAGGGTAAAATGTGAGAGAAAATTGTGTCAGCATGAATGAGGGGCTGAGCTGTATACCCCATACCCTGGGCTGACTGAAAGGAGTAACAAGCCCTGGACTGCATGAATGACGATGCTGTGCTGCTTCCTGTGTCTGCAAAGATGATCTGGCATCAAGAAAGGCAGCACATGTTCACATTTTGGGTGGTGGTAACACACAGGCAATGATTTCAGAGAGCCATATAAGATACAGCCAGCATTATTTTCCTCTATCCATTTTCCTCTGTTTATTGGGTTTGTTTTCTTCAGATATTTTTCCAATCTTGAAAATAGTTGCTAGAATTCTTGTTATTAGCTTTATTTTTTCTATCAACAATCACTATGCCCTTCTTTCTGTGAAATACAAAAATTACACACCCTAAAATAATATGGGCTATTGTCTTAGGTACAACATTTTTAGTTCAGTCCCTTGGTCTGGATTATAACAGACAGATGGAGACAGATACTTCTTAGTGATACCCAGTGACAGGACCAGAGACAATGGGCACACACTGAAACACAAGAGGTTCCCTCTGAATATCAGGAAAGACGTTCTTACTGTCAAAGTCATCAAGCACTGACACAGGTTACCCAGAGAGGTCGTGGGTTCTCCATCCTTGGAGACAGTCAAACCTCAACTGGACGTGGTCCTGGGCAACCTGCAATAAGTAGTTGTTGAACTAAATGATCACCACATGCACTTCCCAACCTCCAACCATTCTCTGATTCTGTTATTTGCTTCTTATTAAAGCTACAGTTTCTTGCCACTGGAAATATTTCGAGCATCTCAAGAGGATGCAAAAATCTTGTTTGTTGGGCTGAGGGAGTCTCAGAGTTAATCTTTGGAGTGAAAATAAGACTTTTATGTATTAAGATAGAAAAAAAAACCTTTCGGAAAAAACATCTGTTTCTAAAATGTATTGGTTATTATTTTTCCCTTCTTTGAGTCCCATGTAGTTGGCTACCTGGATGAAGTCCCAGTTCCAGTTAAAGTCAGTGGGAATTTTGCTGTTTGTTTCAATAAGATTTCAAGATGTCATACTTTGCAATTAAAATGCTTGAATATTTTCTTTACTTGAAAAAACAAAAAATCACAACCATTATCCTCAATAATTTTTAAATACTCGACAA